AACCTGTGATAAATTTTCAACTTGCGTGCCATGAGAGGATCTTAGGCGTGCCGCAAAAAATTTTAAAGATTTTTTGCCAGCACTCTGGTTTGCCATGAGAGGATCTTAGGTGTGCCACGAAAAATTTTAGAGATATTAATTAAATTATTTTCAAAAGAAGTTCAAAGCACAGTACGTGTATTCTTTTTTTTAATCAACAGAAATTCAATATGCTGTGGAAGTTTAACTATAAGTTGAAGTGTGCTATAAGATAAAAAAGGTTGAAAAACACAGGACTGGAGAAAGGAACTGTCATTTATACTTTGCATATGGCACAGAGAGATGAGAATTCACCAAATGAGTGAAACAGAAGTGTGTGTTCTTTTGGGCACTTTCCTTCAAAATAAAACCCCAAAGTTCCCTTCATTTAATTGTGTATTTGAGGATAAGACTTATGAATTTCAATTCACTTTTGTTGCTCTTGTCCTTCTTTATTTTAGACATACATTATTTTAATGACCTGTCTGCTTCGCTGTCCCTGAAGCCCCTGCTCCCTTGTTCCCTATAGCTCAGAGTACTTGGCCCCTTTGTGTAAGCTCAGTGCCATTTCTTTTTGTTTTTTTCTTTTCTTTTCTTTTTCTTTTTTATTAAATCACAGCTGTGTACATTAATGCAATTATGGGGTACAGTGTGCTGGTTTTATATACAATTTGAAATACTTTCATCAAACTGGTTAACATAGCCTTCACCGCATTTTCTTAGTTATTATGTTAAGACATTTATATTCTACACTTAGTAGATTTAACATGCACCCTTGTAAAATACACTGTAGGTGTGTTCCCACCAATTACCCTCCCTCTACCCATCCTCCCCCCTCCCCTGCCCTCCCCCTCCTCTTTCCCCTTCTTCTTCGGCTATAGTTGGGTTATAGCTTTCATATGAAAGTGTGGGTACTTATAAATTGGTTTCATAGTAGGGTTGAGTACATTGGAAACTTTTTCTTCCATTGAGATACTTTGCGAAGAAGAATGTGTTCCAGCTCCATCCATGTAAACATGAAAGAGGTAAAGTCTCCATCTTTTTTTAGGGCTGCATAAAATTCTATGGTGTACAAATACCACAATTTATTAATCCATTCATGGGTCGATGGGCACTTGGGCTTCTTCCATGACTTAGCAATTATGAATTGGGCTACAGTAAACATTCTGGTGCAAATATCTTTGTAATAAAGTAATTTTTGGTCTTCTGGATATATACCTAGTAGAGGAACTGAAGGATCGAACCAGCAGGTCTATATTTAGATCCCTAAGTGATCTCCAAACATTTTTCCAAAAGGAACGTATTAGTTTGCATTCCCACCAGCAGTGTAGAAGTGCTCCCTTTTCTCCATATCCATGCC